ACATACCCCGCGTGGGGCCATGCCCCGCGGCCAGCTGCGGGCGCCACCTGCGCGGCGGCCGGGCCGCGGTCCGCTGACCCGGCGGCGCCCGCTCACAGGTTGGAGAGCTGCTGGGCGGCCGACGGGCCCTGCAGGCGGATCAGCGCGTCCCGCACGCGCCGGCCGTACTCCGGGTGCGCCTGGCTGAAGTTCTTCACCGCGCGTTGCTGCAACACGGGCCGGGGGTCGACGTTCAGAAGCGGTCGGGTCTGTTATTGACCGGATCGACTGGTCCACTCGCGCCGGCCGGCCGCCGCTGCGGCACAAGAGCGCGCCCGCCGCCGATACTCGATCGAGACAGCGGCGCTGGCTGACGGGGCCGGCCGGCCAGCTGCAGACACGGCCTGTCACCTTCGCTCGGTCGCCGCGTCCCGGCACGGACAGGTGCGTCACGACGGACCGGCAGCCGACCCCCGCCGTGTCATTAGAGACCGACAGCTCTCGAATGACACGGCATGTGACGACTCTAATAGCAATGCCAGCGACTGGCAGCGTCGCCCACCAATCGACGGATCCTCCGCAGGCGGCCGCCACACGCAGCTCGGGCGGCGGCGCTCAGTGTCCCGTCAACTCAGCGTTTTCCTCGTACAACGCCCCCCCCCCCCCCTGCACAGCTCAACTGCGCCCCGACCGAAGACAGTTCGGGTGCTAGCTCATCCGACAGAACGACGCCGTGGTCGCCACCCGCTGCGCGGAAGGCCCTGATAGCCAAATGCATGTCCGTGGGGAAATTCCCCGTACTCTGACAAAGTGGATGGCTGGAGTCACGTACCTCCGCATAACACGCATCATTCTGACGGCAGGTCATCTCGCCGCGTCCCGCCTGCGACTTACGCCCTGCACGAATGCCTCCCCGCGGTCGTCCACGCCGGGCGGACCGCTCCGGCTCCAGCTCCGAGTGGCGTCTTGGCCCTGGCTCCTCCACAGCACCCCGATACATCGCTCAAAACGCGTCGCTTCCGTTCAGAAGTCATTGACGGCCGGTCTTTTGACCGTCAGCGGCGGCGTATGGACGCTGCGATCAATACGCCTCCGGCGAGGCCGTGCGATTGGCGAGGAGCCGGTTAATCCCTGACCGGTGCGGCGCACGTCCACCGCCGTCCCCACCCCGCTGCCTGACCTCAGTGCCCTCAGCCGCCGCCGCCGCCGCCGCGCGCGCGCGCGTGCTTCGGGGGGGGGGAGTGGCCGGACACTACAAGCAGTTCCCCCCTCCCCGGACGACGCAGGCCGATGCGGACGTCCAGAGAGTGAGGCGTGTACGGCGCAGCGGTGGCAGATAATGACGCCGTAATTGGGCAGGGTCTGAAGTTGAAACGAGGTGAACCTGAAGTCCGTAAAGTATTTGGTCCGGATAGCAATTTGGACGACAGGACAGAATAGAAAGGAATGTGAAAGTCACCTCCAGAAAATTTTACGCGGGGTACGATACCCGGAGAGGAGCCAGCGTCGATGTCAACCAGTTCGCTCTCACCGGTGTTGGCACTGGCCACGCAGAGCAGCGCCTGGCCCATGGGATTTGAAGGTCTCGTCTGAACCAAGGAACGATTCTGGCAGGTCCGGCCCTTTTCTCGCTTAGTTTGTGTAAAACGGGAAATCCCTGTGATCAGGGGTGCCTTTTTGTAATTTCGGGGGAACTGAGCCCCCCACGCTGACTGCACAAGGCTGTGACTTTACGAGCAATATATATATATATATATATATATATATATATATATATATATATATATATATATATATATATACTGGGCTGATCAAATGCGGCAAGTGGCTGAGCTGCTGGTAAGCCACGTACTAAACGCATCACTCTCTACATCGTTATCATGTATCACATATCGCAATAATATCTGCTTCAAATGGGAAACTGTTTCTAAACATGGGAACCATTTTGGAACCAGGCCAAGGTTTAAAAAAAAATTTTGACATGAGCAATGCTAATAAAAATAACCGAAACCCAGGGACAAATCAGAAAGAGCTCAGCCCCTACCCCCCCCCCCCCCCCTCACCCCCCCCCCCCCCCCCCCCCCCCCCACCTACAGATGACGCAACACTATCAAGGTGATACCTGCGTGATGCCTGCCTGGGATGACTCTATGATGAAAACAAGCTGCGGGAATGTAACAGTCAGATTCGTATGCGGACAACCTCGTCCATCGTGTTCATCATTATTCATCAGATCTAAATCTCATTTCGCACAAGGCCACCAAACCCCGCGCTTTTACACAGCACCGCATAAGCATCCTTGCGGGGTACAAGTTTCTTCAACACATCCTTATCAGAATAGCCAAACAAAATTAAAACATCACAACGTTCGTTCGTAGTAAGATTTTCAGACGGTAATATTTAACCAGCTTTCACTAGAATGATGAACGAAATGCTTTCTCACCACGTTTTAGGTGGCATTTGTATCCCAAGGCACGGCTAGTACCAACCCGACTATCTGGGCCAGTTGCCACCTGACAGTCAGCGACGAGTCACAAAGCACGGTCTCTGGAACGCGAGCTGGCGTGTCGGTGAATATGACGGCCGATACGCGTTGCCAGATGAGGCAAGGACCAGAGGGCCACATTGGTCTCTGGAACGCGAGCAGGCGTGTCGGTGAATATGACGGCCGATGCGCGCTGCCAGATGAGGCAAGGACCAGAGGGCCACATTGGTCTCTGGAACGCGAGCAGGCGTGTCGGTGAATATGATGGCCGATACGCGCTGGCGGGTGAGGCAAGGACCAGAGAGCCACATTGGTCTCTGGAACGCGAGCTGGCGTCGGTCGGTGAATATGACGGCCGATGCGCGCTGCCAGATGAGGCAAGGACCAGAGGGCCACATTGGTCCTCTGGAACGCGAGCAGGCGTGTCGGTGAATATGATCGGCCGATAAGCGCTGCCGGGTGAGGCAAGGGACCAGAGAGCCACATTGGTCTCTGGAACGCGAGCTGGGCGTGTCGGTGAATATGACGGCCGATACGCGCTGCCAGATGAGGCAAGGCCAGAGGGCCACATTGGGTCCCTGGAACGCGAGCAGGCGTGTCGGTGAATATGACGGCCGATACGCGCTGCCAGATGAGGCAAGGACCAGGGGCCACATTGGTCTCTGGAACGCGAGCTGGTCGTGTCGGTGAATATGACGGCCGATACGCGCTGCCAGATGAGGCAAGGACCAGAGGGCCACATTGGTCCCTGGAACGCGAGCAGGCGTGTCGGTGAATATGACGGGCCGATACGCGCTGCCAGATGAGGCAAGGACCAGAG